CTTAAGAGAGATGACACTGTAGATGCCCAAAAGGTCTGTGTCTGGAGAGAAAGTCACAAATTATTTCACTTTTACACAAATACAAGGCCTTTTCTTCATGGTGGGTCCCTGAGGCTTAAATAGAAAAATAAAAAAGAATATACAAAGCCCCTGCCTTCTAAGGAGTCTGCAGTATTTTAATATTAAATATTTGGAGAATAAGCAAATTATATAATTGAGTGCTACATTATCTAAGTGTTAGAGACTCCACTAATGGAGAAACAAATTTGTCCTTTTTTTTTTTTTTTTTTTGAGATGGAGTCTCACTCTGTCACCGAGGCTGGAGTGCAATGGCACAGTCTCAGCTTACTGCAACCCCCGCCTCCCGAGTTCAAGTGATTCTCCTGCCTCAGCCTCCCAAGTAGCTGGGACTACACGTACATGCCACCACACCTGGCTAATTTTTGTATTTTTAGTAGAGACAGGGTTTCGTCATGTTAGCCAGGCTGGTCTCGAACTCCTGACCTCATGATATGCCCGCCTCAGCCTCCCAAAGTGCTGGGATTATAGCCGTGAGCCACCGCACCCAGCCAGAAATTTGTCTTAATGGAATACTTTTGTGAAAAAAGACATAGGAAGCCAAGCATAATGGCATACGCCTGTGATCCCAGCTACTTGGGAAGCCGAGGTGGGTGGATTGCTTGAAGTCAGGAGTTTGAGACCAGCCTGGCCAACATGATGAAACCCCGTCTCTACTAAAAATAAAAATAAAAATTAGCGGGCATAGTGGTGAACACCTGTAATCCTACCTACTTGGGAGGCTGAGGTAGGAGGATTGCTTGAACCAGGGAGGTGGAGGTTGCAGTGAGTTGAGATCACACCACTGCACTCCAGCCTGGGCAACAGAATAAGACTCTGTCTCAAAAAAAAAAAAAAAAAAAAAAAAAAAAAAGACACGGGAGAAATATGTGAAGCAACAGGATAACCCCAACATTGTCACAAACCTAAACTAAGCTGCTGGTGATTATACCTGGTGCTGGGATAGGCATGGCCCTGCCCTCATGGAATGTTCCTGACACACTCATTGCCTGGCTACATATACCCTGCCATGATGTACCTGAAAACTCCAAGTAGTTTGTATAATATTATAGATCAAATGGGAAAGCTTCACCTTCATAAAATACGGAAAGTACTGCAAGTACTTATCATGGCTACTACAGAGAGAGACCCACAAACCAGGCACTGGAGGGGAAACTAAGACCAGGCAGGATGGCCCTTAAGCATCTGAGCTCCATGACAGCTTCATTCCCCAGTGGCTTCCCACAGGCTTCAGTTCAAAGGTGACCCTCCAGGCTCCACGCGAGCTCACCTTGCCTGCCTCTCCCATCGTGTCACCATCACCTCCCACCCAGCCAGGCTCAACTCCTAGCAGTTCCCAGGTTATGCCAAGGGTGTTCCAGGGGAGTCTGCACCTGCGGCTCTCAGCCTGAAGCTGCTTTCTTCCTTGACCTATGCTGGCAAACTCACACCCTCCCTATGGCTGTGCACCAGGGACTGCCCTCTGGGAAGTCTTCCTTCGTCCACCATTCTGACTTAGGTGTCCCTGCTCTGTGGTCCCAAAGTAATCTATACCAGCCCCAGCCACTGCTCTAGATGTTCCTTACAGGCTACCCAGAGTATCCACCACTCATCTGAAGAGCCTTGAGTGCATGGATTGAGTCTTTCAGCTGTACCCCAGTAACCATTGCCCATCAGGCGCACAGCAAGAACTCAACTGGTGATGGTTGGGAAACAACTGAAAATCAGAATTGGGTACTGGGACATAACCTATGAAAAGCACCTCATCCTTCTGTACTCCTTGACTTGATCAGTTGCATTAAGAATATGCAAATAAGTAAATAAAATGCAAACTATCTTCCTGGGAATGAGTTCCTTACATAACTTTTCCACACCAGAAATTCTTCCCACTCTTGGGCATGGATACAGTACAGATACACTAGCCCCCATTTGCAAGACTAAGCCTGTTTTCTCTCCCTCTTCAAACTCTTAACAATTCAAAAAACCAGAAAGGCAACTCCCCATTGTATTAACTTAGTGCCTTCTAGCATGTTGCCTCTCTCCCCAGAGCCTAGTCCAGATCACTTACCAACAGGCCAGCATTCTTCAATAGTACCCCAAAAGTCAGCCGCGCTTGTCAAAACCAGAGTTTTCCACATTCCAGAGTTCCAAGCAGTTTCTCCAAAACTAAATTACAGCTGTCTTCTTTAACTGAGTCTAGCAATGAGTGCCTTGCAGTTTAGAAGGTTTAAGAAAACCTTTTTTATTCAATCTTATTAATCAGAAAATCTCAGAATCTTCATTGTATTTTTCAATAATAATCTTGCAAAGAAACCATATGCTGTTTGAAAAGGCATTAACTCTTAAATTTCAGGCATTTTTACGGCTTTACCCATCTCTCACTTTTCTTCTAAAATGTTTTAATGTTATTTATTCTTCTCTGAGTTATTCACTCAAGTTTCTTGCAGTACTTAATAAAAATTATAGTCATTAGCTTTAAGATACAGGTTATGTGGGTGGCAAGTGAGAATCACAAGGTTCTAAATTTAAAGAATGTCTAGTTGAAGGAAAATGCCAAGACTTACCACAATATGGAAATTACTATTCAGTTATGATGAAATGTGATGAAGTTTTAGGAATGTGTTTTAAACAAACTTTTGAATTGGATTTTTATTTTAGAGGTCTGCTTGTTACTAAAAATCAACCAAAGGTGGAGCAGGTGGAGGTCGCAGGGGAGGATGGGGCGTGTCAGAACCAACCTGAAAAAGTTCCCAGAGGCCAAAGCTGGAACAATTTGAGCAACAAAATAGCAAGAGTATTGGATTATAATCTAAAGGAGAAAATAAATATCCAAAAGCCCATACTGATGCAAATGAATTACTGAATAAGTAAGTAAAGGGGGGGAAAGGGACAAATGTTCCTTAGAGAAGAATTCCAAATAACACAGGTAGAGGAACGAGGGAAATAGCAAGTCACATTTTTATGCCACATAACAGATGCTGCACACAAGACCCAAAGATGAACCTGAAAATTAGTGAGCAAAACTCTAAGGAGAAACAGAGTATCTGCAGGGTCTCAAACTATCTTCTCCAAATTACCTATTAATTACCACGATGCCTTTAAAAGAGTCCAAAAATTCCTTGATACTCTTTCCTCCAGGAGGTGAAGCTTAATTCCCCTGTCATTGAGTGTGGTCTCAACTTAGTGGTTCACTATCACTTATAAGGAACAGGGGATGAAAATGGAAAACTAGAGGCCAGGTGTGGTGGCTCACGCCTATAATCCCAGCACTTTGGGAGGCCAAGGCAGGATGATTGCTTGAGGCCAGGAGTTCAAGAATAGCCTGGGCAACAGAGAGAAACCCCACCTCTACAAAAAAAAAAAAAAAAAAAAAATCTAATTAGCTGGGCATGGTGGCATGCACCTCTAGTCCCAGCTATTCAGAAGGCTGAGGTGAGAGGATTGCCTGAGTCAAGGAGTTTGAGGCTGCAGGGAGCTGTGATTGTGCCACGGCACTCCAGCCTGGGCAACACAGCAAGCACATCTCCAAAAAAAAAAAAGAAAGAAAGAAAAAAACTTGAAACTTTATCAAAGAGAAAGCTGCCAGATGTCACCTAGTCAAGTGACGAAGGCTAATAATAGCAGTAATAAGTCATGTTGAGATCATGAGATATAATTATATGATCCAATGAGGGGGCCACTTTACCTCTGTGGTCCTCTTCCCAACAATCTTTGTTCCAGAGACAGGGTCTTGTTCTGTGGCCCAGGATGGAGGGCAGTGGTGCAATCATAGCTCACTGCAGTCTCAAACTCCTGGGCTCATGCAATCCTCCCACCTCAGCCTCCTGAGTAGCTGGGACTGTAGGTGTGTGCCACCACACCTGGCTAATACTTCTTCCTAAAAATTTACAACCCCAGTCCAATCATAAGAGAACAGACAAATTCAAATTAAATGCACTACAAAATATCTAATCAGTAGGCTAAAAAAGTGGCAAGGTCAGGAAAAACAAGGAAAGATGAAGAAAGTACCACGAAGGGGAGACTAAGGAGACAAACGGAGAATAAGGAGACAGGATGATCAAGTAACAGAGTGCAATGGAATCTTGGATTTGATCCTGAAACAAACAAAAAGGACATTAGTAGAAAACCTGATGGAATCCAGTTAAAGGCTGTAGTTTACCACGTTGTACCTATGTTTAATTCCTTCTGACAAATGTACTGTGGCCATGCAAGATTAGCATTAGAAGTAGCTGGGTGGTTAAGCGCATACAGGAACTCTTCGTATAATCTTTACGTGCTTCTATGAATCTAAAATTATTTCAAAATTAAAAGTTTTTTAAAAGTCAATCTGGCCAGGTGCAGTGGATCACACCTAATCCCGGCACTCTGGGAGGCCGAGGCAGGTGAATCACCTGAGGTCAGGAGTTCGAGACCAGCCTGGCCAACGTGGTGAAACCCTGTGTCTACTAAAATACAAAAAATTAGCCGGGTGTGGTGGTGCACACCTGTAGTCCCAGCTACTTGGGAGGCTAAGGCAGAAGAATCGCTTGAACCCAGGAGGCAGAGGTTGCAGAGAGCCGAGATCACACCATGGCACTCCAGCCTGGGTGACAGAGCAAGCCTCCATCTAAAAAAAAAAAAAAAAAGTCAATCTATCTGTTATCCCTAATAGGTCAAACTGCTGATATTCCACCTAAATACCATTATGGACTTACAAACATGAGACAGGAATGTGTGTATCAGGATAATTTCTTAGTAATTCTTAGCTTTGATATTTTTTATCAATTTGATGTCCCTGTGGTTGTCATATAGACCAAATATATAAGATAATTTCTTCCTGTGAAAAACTTGTTTTTTCATAGTAATCTGTTTATACATTATTATCCTTATATATTTATATAATGTATCTATACATACAATGCCATGTATGACTTCTAAGTGTTCTTTGAAAAATAAGTAATGTAAGTGAAGAGGGATAAAAATGTTTTAATTGTTGAAATACATTGAGAAATTGAGTAATTTACATTGTAGTACTACGTAGATACACAAATCATTATCAAATTAATTTCCAGATATCCCACTAACCGTCCATCACCAAGTCCTTCAAAACAGCTAAAGAACTAATAATGAAGAGACGACGTGACATAGAATGAGCAACGCAACGGCCATGAAGTATTTGTAGTTGCACATGCCCTTCATGAAAGAAAATAAAAATGTAATCAAAATCTGCATATGGCATGCAAATTTGAGTTTATTTTTAAATATTGCAATGAAATACACATTGTTCCTAAAAAGGAAATTCTGACATTTAAATGAAATTTGAAAACCAGATAGTAAAAAACAGAAAGAGATAGTTGTAAGAATCCATTTGCCAATTTTACAGCTAAAAATTAAAGTGAAGTAGAAATAGCGAAAGATAACAGACAATATATTATTTTAGGTCATTCATTTATAGTGCCTTATCATCTTAAGTTATAAATAGAATAAGGATTTTGTTATATAAAAACTATCAAAAAGTATCAGTGAAAAGACATGACCTCCATGAAATGTGTTGAGTGGCCACGGTGGAAACGTCAAAATGCAGCAGCCCTGGCTAGGCAACAGCAGCCTCCATGACAGTTTGTTAACTTGTCTTTCATAGATGGCCACAGAAAGTTCCATAAAGTGTACTGTTTAACCAATTCCCTTCTATTACCACAACAATATGTACCCAGGGTTTTATGTATACACTTAAGATTTGGGGGAATGCAAGAGGGAAGGGTGACTGTTTAGAATTTCCTTGGAAATGTCTGTGCACATTACAATGTCCCACGGAGCCAAATTCCTTCCAAATTGATGAGCATGCTAAGGAGACAACAGAAGAGGAGAAAAGAGTGAGCAAACGGGTACAACTTAGGTTAAAAAATATATTAGCCTTAAGCCTACAAGTTATTTACTGACTTTCTTTTAAGTAAAGCACCTATTTAATATCCACCCAATATTAATTTAAGACTTACGTGGCCAGTGTAGAGCTAAGCACTGATGATAATTATATAAAGAGGCAAAGTTGGGTAGGAAAAGAGACTTACAAACTTACAATTAAAATACATCTTGATAAGCAATGCCCAAACCTAGCTGCATTATATTAACATCATCCAAATTAAAAATAGAGACTGTTCGGCCACAATTCCATCCCTTCCCTACTTGGTCCGAACCTCCCGGGACAGCCTAGCCCTCCACATTACACGGCGCTCCCCGACGGGATTCTGATGCAGCCAGGCCACCCACTGTCACCTGAGAAGCATCACTTAAGCCCCTCTGTGCTGGAAGTACTCTGCACATCTAAGTGGGTATAACTTTCACCCGAGGGTCATCTGCAGAAGAAACTACACATGTGCATCCTGACATAAGTAACGTTTTTTTTCTTTTCTTTTCTTTTTTTTGAGACGGAGTCTTGCTCTGTCGCCCGGGCTGGAGGGCAGTGGCCGAATCTCGGCTCACTGCAAGCTCCGCCTCCTGGGTTTACGCCATTCTCCTGCCTCAGCCACCCGAGTAGCTGGGACTACAGATGCCCGCCACCTTGCCCGGCTAGTTTTTTGTATTTTTTAGTAGAGATGGGGTTTCACCGTGTTAGTCAGGATGGTCTCGATCTCCTGACCTCCTGATCCGCCCGCCTCGGCCTCCCAAAGTGCTGGGATTACTGGCTTGAGCCACCGTGCCCGGCCATAAGTAACTTTAAGAGATTCTGAAATCATTCCTCAATTTGTTTCAAAATCAACCAAACCAAATCAACTTTGATCACTGAGTGCATTTAGTTCAGAGAGAGTCCACACGTTAGGTAAAAAACAAAACAACAACAACAACAACAAAAGTGTCTCCAATCCTTTCCACGAAACATCTCTTTTCTGAAGTCTTCTCATCGGGGTTTCTGCCCAGCAACTAAGGCCTCGAAAGCCATGAGTTCAGACATGTCACGGATAAGGACCACAATGGATGCTTAGCATCTAAGGAAAATGGGCAGCTTATCAACTTAGAAAACTTTTCAGATAATACAAAGGAGGCTACAGAAAGACCAGGATCAAACTAATTGTTTAGAGACAGAGTTAAACACCACATGTCCTCACTCATAAGTGGGAGTTGAACAATGAGAACACACAGGGAGGGGAACATCACACACCTGGGCCTGTTGGGGGGTAGGGGACAAGGGGAGGGACAGCATTAGGACAAGCACCTAATGCACACAGGGCTTAAAACCTAGATGACAGGTTGATAGGTGCAGTAAACCACCATGGTACATGTATACCTATATAACAAGCCTGCACGTTCAGCACATGTATCCCAGAACTTGAAGTAAAATAAAAATAAAAAATAAGTAAATAAATAAAATGTAAGGGTAATAGAAAAAAAAAAAAGAAAGAGTTAAAGAACGGGGAAAATTGAGATAAGAGAGGGGTGGCAATAAAATACTATATATTTACAGCCATGAACAGGAAGAAATGTTTTAGCTAGCTACCTAAAGTGATATGAGCTTGCTCACCAGGATTATTGCTGAAGTGTTAGCGGCGAACTTCAGATCCACCCACAAGGGTGAGCAATCATCGTGTCTAACACTCCCATGAGAAAACTGTGGTTGAGACAAGCTGAGGGAAGTTAAGGGACTCATCTTAGGTCTGTGATGGTAGCAGAGCTGCCCAGTCTCCTGATAGCTATCTAGGCAGCACCTCTTTCCTCTCTATTCCCTTGCTTTTTGAAATATATTCTGTTTCCAGGAGGGTAAACAGCAGTATATTCTTGGTTTTGACTTACCTTTTCTATTTGATACAAATAATAAAAGTACTTCTGCACAGGAGAAAACTAGCAGGGAACTCAGAAATCTATATGGAGGGCTAGAACTATGTTAAAAATACTAGAAATAGAAACTCTCCAGTGACTTCCCAAAAAGAAACCGAACACCCTGTGTTCATGGGTACAAGGGGATAAACCTCCATAATGTTGCCTTGATGAGAAAATCTTCAAAGATGTAGCTACCCAAAGATTGTTCTAAGTTCTTGTCAGGAAGAAACGGGTTACGGTTTCTATGTCTCCTTTCTCTAGCAGGAAAGCTTGTTTGTCTCTACCTGTGAAATTAGTCTGTAATCCCACCCCATCCCAAATAGCAAATCTAGTACTAGCCCTGGGCGAGAAGTTGGTTCAGTATCAAATCAGTCTTGCTTTTGGTCTGCCAACGGTTAGATTTTGGTTATTAAAAAAATTAATAGTATGGTGGTGACGACAATGATGATAGCAGATGCTACCATTTATTTCATATTTAATCCAATCAGCAACTCTTCTGTTTAAGTATTGGCTCCATTTTTCAGATAACAAAACTGAGGTCATAAAGGGGAAGGAACTTGCCCAGCTAGTCAATGAGAGCCTGAATTCAAAACCAAGGCTGCCTGACTTCCAGAAGAGAATGGGCTATCTCAGGAGATAGGACATTCCTAATCACTGGAGGCTTCAAAAGAGGCTGCGTGTCATTCAGCAAGAGTGAAATACAGTGGGGAGCCCAGCATGGAATGTGTTGTTGGACCCAGTGAACGAAGATTCTTTGTCTGTATGGAAATGCTGCTCCATGTCTTTTAGAGACTGGTATGCAGGGCAGTTAATAAATGAAAGCTATTTTTCTCTTGTCCTTATTCTTGTTTGTCTTATTATAATTCTAACTCCTAGCTCTTCGTCGTCTCCATACTGAATGTATTTTGTAAAACCAATCTGTTAACTTATACTCTGATTCTTACTATTCCTTCCTGCCTAATTACATCTCTGTTCAGTTAGATTAGAATCAATATTAAGTGTTTGGGACTTAATTGATCGACTGCCCATCTCTACTGGAGTTTTGGTACTGACACATCTCCTCTCTGTGTATTAACCACTGGCTAATACCACTTAAAATCGATTCTAATCTAATTCCCAGGTCTAGCCTCTCTGGTCTCTCCCTGCCATTTCTCAAGTCCTAGGCCCTCAAAGATTTTTGCAGTGAAGAAGGGTGAGATCTCAACGTTTTAGGTAGACACTTAGCTTGCTCTTACTAAACAAATTAAGTTTCATTTTTAACAAAATGAAATGGAAAAAAAGTAGATGAAAGAAAATTGATCTGATTATTCACCTCTTTGCAATAAAACACACTCAATTCCATAGGATGAAACCCCTTCTTTAAATTGTGAAGTTCAGGATTTCTTAGAAATATAGAGCAAATAATATCTACAGTCCATTCATCAACAAGTCTAAATATATAGAATTATTTAGAAAAATACACAGTACCTCTTGATTCTTGAGTCATGATGTTATTTTCTTCTAATCTGAAAGAGAAAATTAAGAAAAGTTGAATGTTCAGATTATAAATAACATATTCTAATTTTCTATAGAACTGTAAACAGTAATGACATATAAGTATTTGCTAGTCTAAATCACAAAGTACAGGAAGAACAATGAGGAACAAATATAGTATGTTAAAAAAATGTAATATAGCCTTGTGTATAAAGCGAACATATTAATAGTCATTTAAAACTATACATCAGACAATACCTTGTACAGTGGTTTTGTAAATCAGCATTGTTTGCCATGAGCCTCACTTAAAAACTGCCTTGAGCAAGAAGCTATCTATCAATCAAAAGGTGCCTATTAGTCAAAAGGACTTCATTGGCCCCATAATTGCTAACTATTACAACTCAGAAAATGGAGCCTCATTTCATTTAATTTTGCAATAGGCAATTACTTTTCCTTTAAACAGCAGATTGCTTATCAGTCATCTTATATTACAGAAATTTACCTTTCTGTTCTATGAAAACGCCATAAACTTACATAAATATTAGCTTTCATTTTCACACTGATCATCACTAAAATTAACAAGAAATTAAAAATATGGAGCATAACCACAAATAAAAGCTAAATTATGCTCTAGAATTCTTCTTACCATGTGGGTAGCCATTTCAACCAATGACTGCAATGGACAGTACTTATACATGGTTCACTATAGCCAACACATAGATTGAGTCAAGCAAGCCAAAATACAAATTTCATGCTTTTTCATAAAACACAAAAATAAGTAAGAACGGAAAATCAGTAGCACATGATTTCACTTACTTTTCCGAACCGTCTTTGTTTGACTGGACACCATATTGACAGCTTCAGATGGTAGGCCAACATATACTCCTCCATAGTTTCTTGATAAAAAGAAATCAAATCAATTTAAATGGTACTATCTATTTACAGGAAGCAACAGAAGCATGGAGTACTCCAAACAATTACATAATTATTAAAATAGCTCATGGTTTTTCAAAAGTAGAATTTAGAATATTATGGCCCTTGGGAATATAATTGGTTTCCTAGGTTAAAAAGAAGCTATTAAAAAAAAAAAAAAGAAAGTTGTATTTGCATTAGAATTTTAAGATATTTTACTTGTAATGAGAAAGAAGAAAAGAATTTGGGATGTCACAATTTAGTATAGTATTAAATATTATACAGTGACATGTTACAGTCAACATTTATCAAGAATTCAGAGTGGTCAACGTGGTATGACAATAGGCATTATGGACACACAAAGATGTCTTACTAATAGGGAGATATAAAATGAGGGCAGAGAGAGCAAGAGAGAAATGAGGGTGGAGTGCAGTTAATCAGTGAAGTAGCAGGACAGGGAAGGCTGAGAGAATGAAGGGAAGCCGTCCAGTTAGGGAGAAGAGCACACCCAAACGTCATAGGATGAAAATTAGCACACGCCACATGCATAGAACAAAAACCAAGTTTGCTTGGAAGGAGGAAAGATGATGAATCCTGGGCAAGTTCTTTTTCAGACCATATGCCCCTACCTGTATTCTCTGTGCCAATAGTTTTCCTGGAGGAATCTGTGTTATTGGGAATGTGCTACAGTGTGTTAAATCCATGAGGTATGGCCAAAACCATTCAAACTAAAGCCAGCTGCAACACCAAACATACCTCCTCTTGTCATCTTCTGTTATGGATTCTTCTGTTCTAAAAGGTCAGAAACATTTGCTATGAGACAGTTGGTTACATAGTCGGGGACTTCATTTTTGGTTATGAGAAAAAGGGACTACTGAGTTAAAGTCAATTTTATTTCAAGTGTTTCCATCAGACTTAAGCAGAGGAGCAAAACTATCCATCAAGTGTTTCTGTGACAATATTCTGCCTTCACCTCAATCGTTCATACATTAAAACTTGGTAATTTCCTACAAACCAAAGTGTGTGAATACAGCAAATGCCAAAATGCACAACTGCCAAATGAAATGGAAAACTGAGGGCAGCTGAAATTGGAAAAAAGCCTGAGTTATCATCTTGTGTGTACCACCCACTCCCTGTGTGACAGGCTGTGGGCGAGCTGCCAGCCTGTGTCTCATTTGTAAAATAAGCTGGTTGACCAGATGACCCCTCAGGTCTCTTCCAGACCTAATACATGATTTTAGATCTCTTCTGACACTTCAGTGGCACAACTATAGGTACTGAAAGATTTCTTCAGTGCAAAAATAGTTAATGCCTATTTGATTTATTTTTATCTAAAAACATGAGCCATTTCATACATGATATACTGCAAAGACAGGGGAAATGTTTAAAAGGACACATTTAGAGGGGATCACTACTTTAAAATGCACAGATTCTCTCCTTGCATTAAGATGAATGCAGGCCAGGTGTGGTGGCTCATGCCTGTAATCCCAGCACTTCGCGAGGCCGATACGGGTGGATCACTTGCAGTCAGGAGTTCGAGACCAGCTTGGAAAACATGGTAAAACCCCATCACTACTAAAAATACAAAAATTAGCCACGCATGGTGATGTCTGTAGTCCCAGCTACTCAGGAGGCTGAGGCACAGGAATCTTTGAACCCAGGAGGCGGAGGTTGCAGTGAGCAGAGATCACGCCATTACACTCCAGCTTGGGTAACAGAGGGATACCTGGTCTCAAAAAAAAAAAGAAAAAAGAAAAAAGAAAAAAAAAAAAAAAGGAGTCCATATTCTACCAGAATTCCTTGGCATATTTCTAAGAGAATCAAGACACTTTCCTTGAAGCACTAGTTGGCACACATAAGTTGCTTTTCTGAAAGAAAAAAAAATTCAACAAGATTCCAATGTATCTGGCTGAATTCAAATTGTAATGTTAAGGGGCTTCAGTTGAGAAAAAAGCAGACTGCAAACATCTAAACGTCATTGACTCTTCTGATTCAGAGACTGTCTTAACTCTGATTTTACCCACTTAAAAGTTGTGATATTTCAAATGTGACTATACATGTGTATGAGATTTTTGCTTTATTGGAACAGCAAGTCCAAGTCTATAAAGAAGGAAAGTGCAGATTTAACAATTATCTGGTGAATGCTGGCCGTGAACAGCTAATACTGCAAGAGAGTACAAAATCCATCTTGAGACCGAATTCACCCAAACTGAGCATATAACCTAAATGCACCAGATGGTTATCAGCTTCATTCACCTCTTGTTTATGCTGGATCGTTTTTTAATTCAAAAGTGTCAAAGTTGTACTAATGGTGTTATGCTTATTGATGTGGTATAAGAAAGTGCTGTTCACTACTTTTAATTAAAATGGATTTATAATCCTTTAGTATAGATAATGGAGAAATGATGAGGACAAACTCGTTCAAGGTAAGTTCTGATAAGAACTGTTTACTTTGATCCTGAGTGATTAACTTTCTCATGAAATCACATGAACCTGTGTGTAACTGGTCGTTTATGCCACACATTTCCTGCCACAACTATTCTTTTCACATCCATTTACATATTTGTTTATTTTAATTCTTTCCCCTTTTGCTTAACTGTGCTTAAGGATATATTCAAGGTTTTAAAATATATTTTCACTTTCCCAAATGTAAGAAAATAGTCATTTACTTTCTCCTGTGAAATTATTCAATATCTTAAAACTCAATCTGTGTTCTCCGTTATAAAATTAATCAACAACCTTACACGTATAACTGGCAGGAAAGGATAATGTAGTTGCCATATTTATTTTACAATAAATTAAGCTTCAGATATAGTGCCAAATCTTAAAAAATACCACCTATAAAGCCTTATTAGATATCCATTCTTTTTTTATTTTTATTTTTTTGAGATGGAGTCTTGCTCTGTCACCAGGCTGGAGTGCAGTGGTGCAATCTTGGCTCACTGCAACCTCTGACTCCCTGGTTCAAGCGATTTTCCTCCCTCAGCCTCCCCCGAGTAGCTGGAATTCCAGGCACGTGCCACCACACCCAGCTAATTTTTGTATTTTTAGTAGAGACAGGGTTTCACCATGTGGGCCAGGCTGGTCTTGAACTCCTGACCTCGTGATCTGTGCACCTTGGCCTCCCAAAGTGCTGGGATTACAAGCATGAGCCACCGGGCCTGGCCAGACGTCTCCTCTTTTAAACCTTCCACTGAGTTGTAAAGCCTGCCTTTGCATACACACTTCCATGTATAAGACTGTCACTTCATCCATTCCTTCCACAAACAGTTATTCTACAACACTAGGACTAGAGACCAGGACTCCACGGGTACAATGATGTCATTCATGAGTCCCTCCTGTGTGTCAGGCACAGTGCAGGGCACTGCACGTGCATCCATGCTATTCCTCACAACAGCTCTGAGAGCCTGAGCCTGAGGCACCAGGTACAGAAAGCCATGTAATTCATAAACATACAAGACTAACAAGTATGACCAACATCCATACCCCATCCATCTGGCACCAAAGCCATGCTCCATATTCTGATTCACCACTCTCCTTCTCAGGTAGAAAGATGTAAAAGTCAAAAACACTTCCTGTGAAAGACAAACATAGTGGCTTCTCCTAAAGTGGGCAATTCACCTCCATACTGCTTTTGCAAAAGCTTTGACCATCACTCCATCTCTCAACCTGATTGTGTAACTATACTTGGCACTTTGCTAATTCTATTATATGAGTTCATTTAATCCTCATACAATCTTGCAAGGCCAGTACTGCTCACATTTAAAAATGAAAAACTGAGTAGCATGATCGAAGTTATGAAGCTAAGTCATAGAGCCAGAATTCAAACCCAGATTTGTGTGATCCTAATTCCTGCTTCATGCACTGTGGGCCCATGCTAATTTGCATTAGAGAAACATGCACCTTCCTGTAGCTGGAGCTCTCCAATTTGTATCATCCCACTCAAGAAAAGTCGGAAATGAGATGGTAGAAGACTCCTAGCCTGTTTCATCAGCATGAGAAACAACCTCTCACAGCTGCCAGGGACCATCAATCTTTGCAGATCTTGTCAAATTGCCACATAAGTCATTTTTATGCAGGTACAAAGGTTGTTCTGACGAGCAGTTACATTAGAATCTATTCAACTGGACAACCAGGTCCAGATTAAGGTTAAATCAGAAAGCGGTGGTTGGTTTAAACCAACTCTTCTTGTGGAAGGATAGGTCCAAGCCATTGTGTTGAGCTGCCTGGAGAGAGAACCAAATGCTGTCCAGCCAGTGTTCAAGGGGACACGGGCATCGTACCTGCTGGGGTGGCGTGGTCCTGCCCCAACTGCACAAGCTTTATCGTAAGGAAGAAAAATGGGTCAATACACAGCAATAAAGACCCCGGGTAAAAGGAAAGCCCGGACATGTTAAGCCAAACTCCTGACAGGCCAATGCAATTGCCTCAGGTTATTAGGCTTTTAGGCTCCATAGTCTAAAAAGCACACCTTCTGGTGCAGAGGACTCATTTCAATAAAGGTCATTTCTTGGTAAGAGAAGTGGACATTATCCTCTGGCCATTCAAAACTGGGATGTTAAATTTATCACTCAACACTTTTATAAGAAACTTGAAGTCTTTGGGATTTGAATCCTTGTTCTCAAGTTCTCAAGTTTTGAATAATGCCCTGGCTATCCAAACATAGGGGGTGCCCCATCTGGAAACCATTTTAAGGAATCAATATACCTTTCCCCCCACCCCACAAAACTCCTTATTTTGAAAGATTTTACCTGCCTTAATAATTTCAGCCTGGGCAATATGGCAAGACCTCGTCTCTACTAAGAACACAGAAAATAAAATAAAATTAGCCAGGTGTGGTGGTATGCGCCTGTGGTCCCAGCTACAGGAGGTGGCGGTGGAAGGATCACAAGAGCCTCCCTCTTGTGAGTGAAAACGGTACGTTGATTTCTTAAAATGATCTACAGGGCAGGTGCAGTGGCTCACACCTTTAATCCCAGCACTTTGGGAGGCTGAGGCGGGCAGATCACCTGAGGTCAGGAGTTCGAGACCAGCCTGGCCAACATGGTGAAACCCCGTCTCTACCAAAAATACAAAAATTAATTGGGCATGGTGACATGTGCCTGTAATTTTAGCTACTTGGGAGGCTGAGGCAGGAGAATCACTTGAACCTGGGAGGTGGAGGTTGCAGTGAGCCCAGATTGCGCCATTGCACTCCAGGCTGGGTGACAGAGAGAGACTCGGTCTCAAAAAAAAAAAAAAGATCTATCTAAGATGAGGCAGCCCAGATGTTCACCTGAGCATGGGAGACAGTGGTTGCAGTGAGCTGAGATCATGCTACTGCACTCCAGCCCGGGTGAAAGAGCAAGGCCCCATCTCAAAAAATAATAATTATAATAATTCACTTGTCAATATTTTCTTAGACACTTAAGTGCCAAAAGGAGCTTCTGATGGGCATGGGATAACTGAGGTGCCCACAGGTAGCTTATGTCATTCAAATCAAAGGCAAATACATTTTACATTTACAGGTACACATCACTGTAGGCACACGTAGATTTCTGTTAGGTTTCAGAAGTTATAAAAATAGTGTCTGGTCCTTCCTCAGCTCTGAGGATCCAGAATGTCTTGCTGGAAATGGTCACGCTCAGGCCAGAACATCCACAGCCACGTAAGCTCCTGGATGAGCCACTCCGTTCTTCACCAAGGATGTGATTATTTTCTTTTCTGGTCACTAAGTTGACCAGAAACTCCAGTTGTAGGGCAGTGACTACTGCATGGTCTACAGCTGTGATTGCTGATGGACTGCAAAATTT